AGCGGCTTTTCTCAGCAGTCACCTCAGCTTGAGAATAAAGGACTGAGGGAAGTGAGGTGTGGGAGAATAAAACTGAGCTCTGGAGAAATGTTTGGCTAGAGTTTCCCCTACAATATGTACCAGTTCCGACTTGCATACAAATTCAACTTAAGAACAAACCTACAGTCCCTATCTTGTACGTAACCCGGGGACTGCCTGTACTTGGATTCTCTGAATGTTCGAAGACCAGACATCTGTCCATGATGTTAATACTATAAGCGTGAATGTATAAATATATATATAAAAGTTTCTTTCATGGAACTACAGAACAACTCACTCTACATGAATTCTGGGAGCTGAGACCTTCCAACATTGACGCCACAATACAATCATATCATCTATGGTTGCTCAGGTAAGAGAGATCTTCCTTTAATCGCAGAATTGGAACCACCATTTTGAATCACTAACCCCATTAATTTCCTAAGCTGCTGAATTTGACATTCATGTTTGAGAATCCAGACAGTAATCTAATACTCAGAGACAGCCTCTCATTGATCATGTGAACAGATGGCAAGAACACAGAGGCCCCACTCAAGGATTTGCTGTGGCTGCTGCTTAGAGGGGAATGACCCAAACAATGCTTTGTTATAACAACTGATGCAGATCAATATCAGGGAGCAGACTCCATCTCCTAGAAACATAGTGAGCACAGCTGATCCTGGCAGTGGCTGTCTGACTGCACTTCCTGATTAGAGGAGAGACAGGGCTAAGCTAGGGATGTACTAGTGTAGTCGATTAACCAATAAGCAAATGGGTATAGGTTAATGCTACAGACTACATGCATTTCCCTCCCTCTCCCCTTGCCAGTAAATTTTTTAGCAGGCCGGTCAGCTGCCCAGCTCAGTTCTGGCTTGTGATGGGTCTGGGACCTACCCCCGCTGCAGGTCTGCATTTAAAGTGTGTTAGGAGCTAGGCAGGCAGAACAGCTTAGTTCTAGCTTGTGCCAGGTCCAGGAGCTCAGCCTCTGCCCTGTCACCCCCCACACTGCTGCCTCTTTATCAGAGGCAATAGCACAGGGTGCTGACAGCTGGTCCATGAGGGGAGCTGGTTTTTAAACTGGCCCCCTTGCGGTCCAGCTCCCGCCTGGCACCCCGGGCTGCTGTCTCTGATACAGAGGCAGTAGCGGGGAGTGGCAGGGTGCTCCTCAGGAGTGGGGCCGGAGCACATTGGCTGCCGCCCCCGCCCCTGGGGACTATAGAATAGTCGACTAATCGATCAGAATTCATGAGGTTACTCGACTATTCAATTAACCAGTTCCTGCTCAGCTTGCTCTTGTGCCTGCCCATCTCAATCCCTGACATTCCCGGCTCCTCTTCCTGATGACTCCAGCACAATTCTGGTATTCAATTTCCATTCCCTGGCTCTGACCTTGGCTTTGCTTTTGACTATGCCCCGGATGCCCCATGACTCATTTTCTGCTCGGCTCTAACCTCCAGGCAGGGCCACCCCCATGGCTCCGACCACCAAGACCAACTGTTAGTGTCTCGGTCCTGTTCCTGAGCATCCTGCAAGAGAAAGACCGAAGATGAAATTCTGCTGTGAGGCTGACCCTCATTAAGGTGTCTGTCTTTCCGAATGAGGTACTGGGCACCTTGAAAAAGCTACAGACACAAAGCTACAGGCCCTGCATACACAGGTCTCCCTATCCAGGGCCCAGGTACTTCAGGAACAGCTCACTTCTTGCTAGCCCTGCTTGCCCTATCTTGGAAAGCCCTTAATTCTGGATCATCAACACAGACTCCAAGTGTTAAAAATGTGCCCAGACAACAGGTACTGGCTATTTTGGCCACCATAAAAAAACCTGGTTATTTACCTGTAACTGTTGTTCTTCAAGATGTGTTGCTCATGTCCATTCGAATTAGGTGCACGCGCGCTACATGCACAGATTCCGGAGCCTTTTCCCCCCAGAGGTATCCAGCAGGGAGCCCCCTGGAGCGGCACCAGCATAATGGTGAATAAGTACCCCTGCTGGCCCTCCTCTCCCTCAGTTTCTTCTTGCTGGAAAAATTCCGACAAAGGGGAGGTTGGGGGAGGCGGAGAAGGGGGTTGTCGAATGGACATGAGCAACACATCTTGAAGAACAACTATTACAGGTAAGTAACCGTTTTTTCTTCTTTGCGTGTCTGCTCATGTGCATTTGAATTAGGTGACTCCCTAGCCAAAACCAACAGAGGCAGGGTCGGAGAACACCACAGGTTAAGATAGGGCTGACTGCAATACCGCAGCTCCCAGGGCTGCATCCTCTCTAGTCTGTTGGGTGATCACATAATGCGCTGCAAACGTGTGCACTGATGACCATCTGGCTGCGCTACAGATATCTACTATGGGAACCTGTGCCAGAAAGGCTGTCAAGGGGGCATGCGCCTGAGTGGACTGAGCTGTGATGTGTGGCGGTACCTTGCCTGCCAAATCATATCATTCCTTGATACGGGACATGATCCAAGACCACAACCATTGTACTGAAACTGGCGTACCTTTCATCCTCTCCGCTATTGAAACAAAAAGTTGAGGTGCTCTATGAAACTCTCTTGTTCTGTGTATGTGAAAAACTAGCGACCGCTTTGCGTCTAACGAATGCAAGGCCCGCTCCCTCGAGGTAGCATAAGGTTTTGGGTAAAACACTGGCAGGTAAATATCCTGCAACATATGGAATGCCAAGACTACTTTAGGGAGGAAGGCTGGGTTGGGCCGTAGACGTACCCTGTCTGTTGAAAAGACCATAATACGGAGGATCAACTGTAAGTGCCCTTAGTTCAGATACCCTCCTCTCTGATGTGATAGCCACTATGAAAGCAACCTTGAGCGTCAGGTGTTTGAGAGAGCACATGGCTTAGTGAGCAAAAGGTTGAGGTTCCACTGCGGTACCGGTTGCCTGACATGAGGGAATAGTCTGTCCACCCCTTTGAGGAATCTCTTGACCATAGGGTCAGTGTACACTGATCTACCTCCTTCCCCCGGGGGGAAAGGCTGCTATAGCTGCCAGGCGTACCCTAAGGGAAGACGTAGATAGGCCCGACTGACATAGATGCAGGAGGTAGTCCAAAATCAACAGAAAGGATGCTGACGAGCTGCACTCCCTTTCCCGCTGTCCATTCTGAAAAACGTCTCCACTTGGCCGAGTAAGCCGACCTAGTGGAGGGTTTCCTGCTTCCTAGCAAAACCCTCCTAACCCCTTCCAAGCCCCTGGTCATTTTTTGTTGCTGTGAAAAGTGAAGAGATCTGCCCGGGGATAACCCCACCTCCAAAAGATGTCCTCTAACACCTCGCTCTTGAGCGACCGATTGCGAGTGGTGAAAACATGGCTGAGATTGTCCGCCAGGACATTCCTTGCCCCTGGCAGATATGCCGTTTCCACCTGAATGTCGTGGGCTAAGCAGAACTCCCAAAGGAGTTCTGGCTTCTCGGCACGGGAGAGGAGCGAGCTGCATCCTGTCTGTTGATATAAAACATTGCTGCTGTATTGTCCGTTAGTACGGAGACTGCTTTGGGGCTCAGATCGGACAAGAACATCCGGCAGGCCACTCTGACCGCCCTGAGTTCTCTGACATTTATGTGGAGCTGCCGCTCCAATGGTGACCACATACCTTAAGTCCACCGTTCCCCTAGGTGAGCTCCCCATCTCATGTCCAATTCGTCAGTGATGAGCTGCACCGTCAGGGTCTGGTTCACAAAGAGCTCGCCCGCACATACTACCCCTCCCCTTGCGTCCACCACTCGAGGGACTGGGTAACATCTTGAGGATTGTGTCCCATGGTGCCCATACCTGACTGAACACTCGGGCAAGCCATGACTGCAGTGGCCTGAGCCTCAGCCTGGCGTGTTGCACCACGTAGGTACAGGCTGCCATGTGTCCTAGTAGCCTCATGCAATTTCTTCCTCTTGTGATTGGAGATGCCACCAGGCCCCATATAATGGTGCTGATGGCCATAAACCTGGCCCTGGGGAGAGAGGCCATGCCCTTTGTTGAGTCTAATCAGGCCCCCACGAACTTTATAGCTTGAGTGGGTATGAAGGTGGACTTCTCCTTGTTTATCAGTAGACCCAGGATGCCAAAAGGAGCCCTGATAAAGTTTATATGTTCCTGCACCTGTTCCTTTGAATCCCCCCGATGAGCCAATCATTCAGGTAGGGGAATACCTGGACTCTGCAGGGGCCACAGCAGCCATGCACTTTGTGAACACTCTTGGTGCCGTGGACAGACCAAAGGGAGGGACGGCAACCTAGAAGTGTTCCCACCCCACCATAAATCTGAGGTATCTTCTGTGGGTGGCCCTCATCGAGATATGAAAATATGTGTCCTTTAGGTCAAGGGCAGCGTACCAGTCCCCCAATTCCAGGGAGGGAATAATACTTGCCAAGGTGACCATCTTGAACTTTGCCTTTCTTACAAAGGTGTTGAGATCTCTCAAGTCCAAAATAGGTCTGAGGCCTCCCTTTGCCTTGGAGATAAGGAAATACCGGGAGTAAAAAACCCTTCCCTTGAAGTCTGGAGGAACCCATTCCACCGCCCCCTACTGAAGAAGTGAACGTACTTCCTGATTCAATAGGATCTTGAGAAGGGTCCCTGAAGAGGGATGGGAAAGGAGGAGTTTGGGGGGGAGAGGAGGGAGGAGAGAAGAGGTGAATGAGGTCAAGAACCCATTTGTTGGTCATAATCCGGGCCCAAGCCTGATAGAAATGGGATAGTCTGTTTCCAAAGGGGTGCGTGCGTTTATGATGGGAACTGGTACTCTGCCCTCAGGTGCACCCTCAAAACGAGGACTTGGGTTGCTGGGGAGGAGGTGGTCCTCCACTCCTCTCAGTGTCGGAGCGAGACCTTCGTTGCCTACTGCGCCCATTAGCGTTGTTATTGCACACATTGCAAGGCCGGCGCCTGGTTTGGTCGGGTCTGAACCTGTTAAGGAGATTTCCCTTGTGGCCTTGGGTTGTATGACCTGCACTGCGTGGCCACGGTGTGGATACCCAAGGATCTCAGCGTGGCCCTAGAGTCTTTCAGGCTGTGTAACCTGGTGTCAGTTTGAGAGAACAGGTCCTTTCCCTCAAATGGCAAATCTTGAAGAGTGTTCTGCACTTCCGGGGGTATCCCAGAGACTTGTAATGTGGCATGGGGCCTGGTTACAACCCCCGTGGCCACTGTACGCACTGCTGAGTCCGCCGCATCCAGTGCGGCTTGCAACGCTGTACGAGAGATGGACCTACCCTCTTCTGTCAGCACTATGAATTCCTGTCTAGAATCCTGAGGCAGATGCACCTTGAATTTGTCTACTGCTGTCCAGGTATTGTACGCATACCTGCTTAACACTGCCTGCTGGTTGGCAATGTGCAGCCACAGGCCCCCCGTAGCGAATGCCTTTCTACTAAGCAGGTCCAGCCTCTTCAGCTCCCTGCTTTTGGGTGTAGGACCTGGTGGGCCCTGCCTCTCTTTTTGTCCTGCTGCCTGAACCACCAGCAAGCCCGGAACCAGGTGGGAATATAAATGTTCATGTCCAGTCTGGGGGACGAAGTAACACCTTTCTACCCCCTTCTGAGCGAGTGGGACAGAAGCTGGCGTTTGCCACAGATTGGCAGAGGTCTGAGCCACCGTTTTATTCAGCAGCAGCGCCCGTTTTGGTGGTGCATCGGAGAACAAAATATCAACCCTGGGGTCCAAGTCCTCATTTACCACCTCCGCCTGTACCCCCAGATTTGCTGCCAGGAGTCGCAACAGATCTTGGTGGGCTCTAGCATCCATGGATGGCATGGATGAAGCTGGGTCAGCTAGGGCTTCGTCGAAAGACGAGGATTCTCTCAGTGTCAGCTGGTCCTGAGGTGGCTCTGTCACCTGGGAGGGTTAGCTGTGCCCGCGGCTGGTCATGGGCCTTCCATCCCTCACCTTGTGTGACAGGATGCAGCAAATCCCTCTGTGGGCTGCCTTTGTATTCCAAGGCAGGGGCCCTGGACATGGAGGTCGCCGACAGAGTCCCCTTGGATCTAAATGCTCCAGATCTCTGGGAGGATGGCAGTGAGCCTTGCATTTGATGATAGGCCCATGGGGTCCAGAAGGGCCATTGTGGATGCATCTACAGTGGCCATGTCTGGTGTGGCTGGTACTCCCGGTGCTGGGAGCATTGCCGCGAACAGGAGCGGTACTGGGAACATCTGCACGATGAAGCTCCTGACCACACCGACTCTGCGTCGGATTCTGACGAGCAGTCCAACGCAGACCAAGGGGGTCTGTCAAAGGCGCCTGAGACAGATGCCGGAGTCGGTGCCTGGCCATAGACTCCAGCTTCCCACGGTGCACTGAAGGAGGAGGCGGCCTCATCAAGGTAGGCAGCAAAGGGGCAGGTTCGCTGTGCGATGGTGTAATCATAAGCAGTGCACTCTTCCTGAGCTCATGCAGCAGCCGCCTCGATGCTGATAGGGACACTTCCGTCACCGTCTGAAGCAATGGTGCCAACATGGATACCGGTGCTGATGTGTATACCGGTGTCGACTGGGTCCCCAGTATCAAGGAGTTTCCCAGTGCTGATCAGGCACCCGGTGAAAAAGCCACATGGCCTGTCTGACCCAAGTGTCTGACGTGGTGTGCTGACGTATCTGGAGCTGGGGACGGCACCAGTGAGGCAGTCAGCTCATTCGATGCCAAGAAGGAGCTGATAATCTCAGAGGTGGATGGTCTGTCCACATGTAAAGCCCATTCTGGACCCGGGCTTCTTATCTGCATCAAATCCAGTCGGTGTCTAGAGGGGCCTGGGATGTCACGGTGGCGAGGTGAGGCTCCTGCCGGGGTATGGGTCCGGTGTCGACTCCCGTGCCCCTTCCTCTCCAGAGATCTCCACCTAGTCTGCCTCTTCTTCTTCGGTGTGGGAGACTGGGATCTATGCCTCGGCACCGCAACTTTCTTCTGTGCTGTGGTATGTACTGGTGCCGCTGAAGGTTCACGCAGACGCCAGTGCGCTCCACAAGTGCAGATTCCATAAGCATCAGCTTCAAATGGGAATTTTTTCCCCTCTTCGTACAGGGTTTAAAAGCCTTGCAGATTTTACAGGATTCTGTAAGATGGCTCTCCCCCAGACACTTTAGACAGGAGTCTTGAGGGTCCCCACAGGGCATAGGCTTTGAGCAGGCTATGCACGGCTTGAACCTGTGCGGACCTGGCATCACCCTCCCCCAAAGGGGAGAGTAACGTCGCAGAACAGGAATGTTCTACTAGCTATCAACTATTTACACTACAAAGGAAAACTACTAAGGTAACTATTTACACACTGGGTTTGCTAAGTCAGAAGACAAATGCTCCAGCTACCAACCCGGGCAGTAAGAAAGAACTGACAGAGGGGAGGGCCAGCAGGGGTATTTATTCATCATTATGCTGGCACCACTTTAGGGGGCTGCTTGCTAGATACCACTGGGGAAAAAAGGCTCCGGAATCCATGCACGCGGCGTGCGCACAACTAACTCGAATGCACATGAGCAAGCACTCGAAGAACTACTCAAGACATTGAGGTACAAAATTTCTCGTGGCCAAAAGTGAGCACTGATGTGAAAAAATACATTGACTTCTGTGACTTGTTCTGTCAAAGACACAGTCTACATGTTAAGGTGCTTGGACTTCGCCAGCTTCTGCAACCCCATCCTGAGGCTTGTCCATGGTCTCAAAGACATCTTACAGAGCTCTCTATCTCCCAAGTTGCACCGTCATTCTTGGCAGCTGTTGAGCTATTACAGAGACAGTGCATTTTATTTTTTTTTAAACTCTCCCCTAACCATATTTTTGGTTCCATGGATTGCCAGTTGTAATAGTGTCTAATTGGAGCCCGTATTCGCTTCCTAATTCTGATAAACTCTATAAAATCCTAGGAATCAAATTCTTTTCCTCCTCAACCTACCATCCGTAGATCACTTAGCAGGTACATCAAATCTTCAAGTAATGATTTTGATGCTTCCTATAACTATTTCCAAGATGGCTGGTCACTCTCCTGCTATATGCTGAATTTGTTTACAATACCTCTATTAATGCCTACATCCACAAGAGTCCATTTTTTGGCTAATTATGGCTTTCCGTCTCATTTTTCTCTAGCTGCAGACTTGCAAGTTCTAGTTGGGATATACCTTGTTACCCACCATCATCAAGTTAATTAGGAAATTATGGAGCATCTGGAAGCTACCAAAACCAACTTATGTCATGCTGACCAAGATCACCAAGCGCTCGCGCTCTCTCATTCATATTT